AGGTTCCTTCCAATCCCTAATATTCTGTGATGGGTCTCTTCACTAATAAAGTCAGGGTTAAAGGTGTTACTCGTGATTTTGGTGATCCTCCTATTAGTGCCTTGTTTGCTATCGTGTCTGCAAAGGGCCCTGCAGAAGATGGTGAACAACACCTTTGTGGTACAGAAACAAAAAGGGGAAATTGTTGGTGAGTTAAGGGCCGAGGCTGCAGGCGGCCTTGACCTTGAGCAGTTTATTCCTGACCTTGAGTGAAGACAAGATAAACAACAAAGCAGAACAACAGAAGCAAGAATATGTATGAGACAGGATGAGGGATGACTTGTGCGCTGTAAGCAGTAACCAGTCAGAAGCAAAAGAATGGCTCGTGGACAAGTAGAATTATCCAATCAAGTCAATTGTGTAGGCATGTGCATGGGGCATGGGGAGGGAAAAAAAGATAAATAAGTGGTGCAAGATTTTAATAAAGTGCTGATGCCTGAATACATCTCAGAGTTGGTCGCTGCATCTGCCGCAGGCATGCACCAAGAATGGCACAACGAAGTTATTTACCAATAATCAATGCACAAGGTATGAGAATACAACATAAATACGTAAGAATGCCCTCCTGTGTCAGATTTCATAATCCTCAATCACATTCTTTCTCAGCCCTTCAAGGAACAAGACTGGTTGAAACTCTCAGACATATGGCTTTCGCGGAGATAATAACAAAGACCTAAAAAACAATGCAGGCTGGGAGTCAGGATACATCCAATCCTGTCCCTAGCACAGGGATGGAAACTGACCTTCAGGGAAGGCCTCTAGATTCAAACAGACAAGGAAGAAGCATTACAGAGCAAGAAAAAAGTGTCTCAATTTCAGAAGCCTGCTGAGATGAATTAAAATGGCAGCAGACATGCTTTCTTAGATGCTTGCTACCTGGAGCAAGGAGGGCACAGAAAGGCTAGTGCATGTTCACTGTAGATACAGCAAAGAAAAAAAAAAACCCCAAACAAAACCAACTTTCTGTTCCACAGCATAAGTGTATTATATGAATATACACTTACAGATCTGGAAGCAGGCATTTGGAAATAGCAATAATTACAGAACACTGTAGGAAAACCACTAGTTTATCATAACTTACCTGGCTGATGATAATATTTTTGACAGTGTGACCTAGTTTCCAGTGACCCAATTCATGACCAAGTACAGCCAGAACTTCTTCATTTTTACATCCTTGCTTCTTATTCTGAGGGAATAACAAAGCAGAAGTAGTATCAGGTATGACTGAACACAACTGAATAAAGTTCTTACTTATTAGTTTGTTTTTTCCTAGGTCACTTAAGCATCCCTAGATCAGGCTGTTCCCTTCTACCAGCAGATATGCACATATAATTTCTTACTGAGCCTTTTTTAAGAAGATACTTACAAAAAACCCCAACTTTTAAGTTCAACAAGATTTCTAACCAAGAGGTGGTGTGCTCTTATTCCTATGCATGCAGACATGCCTGTGCAAACCTGGAAGAACACTGGAAGATTTGCCTTCCAAACTCCCTCCTACCATCCCTTGATCTCATCCTGTTTCTTTACTCAAGAAAAGGCGTTACAATGGAAGCAGACATTTAGAGCTGCAGACTCAATGGAGAATTGAGAGCAAAGTTATCTCTCTACTTCCTTCAACACTCAGTACATAGCCTCCCTCCGAAGGCACTACTGTTCTTTAAAATGACAACATCCCTGTCCTCTGCAACAGATGTTATGACATGCCTTAAAGCTATCATTATGAAAGACAGACATCTGTACCTTCAAAGGTACATTAGGAAGTCAGAAGCAAGTATGTGGGCTTGTGTACTGAGAATATAGCTGAAGAACCTGTTGAAATGGAACAAATTATTCTCATTATGATTAGAGCAGGTGAGCTCAAAATCCTCTCCTCTCATCACCCACTTCTGCAGTATGCCATACAAAACCATGAAGAGAATTCCATAACAATAAGGTTACAAGAAACTGAAACTGGACTGAACAACAATCTATACATTAGTCTAACCCCAGGCTGCATGAGGCAATTCTTTCTTCTCAGAACTACTCCTTCAGGCTCTTCAGAAAGTATTACATCAGTTTTAACCACGCCTACACTGTCCTGAAGCCACAAAAGCTGTTACAGCAGACTCTTGATGTGCACCTGCACATCAATGGAAAGGACAATGAAAGACCATCATCCTGTTCTTGACCAGGGTGAGGTAAGGTGCACATGTGGAATCTGTAAGTGTGTGCACATGTGCATGCCCCTTGCACTAAAATGTAAAAGGCACACAAATGACACACTGATAGACAAAAGCATTTCCTTCAAAGAGAAGCTTTGATGTGGCAGTCCCAAGAGAAAGAAGACGAGCTAAAACCCTGAGTAAATCCCTTACTCAAACAATTACAAGGAAGACCAATTTTTTACATGCAGGGAACCAATGTTTTGCTGAAGTCCCTGTGGATTTGTACGGTCTCTTTGGTGCCATCTGCACCACTCACATAGCCCCAGAAATTCCAGTTAGTAGCTCACAGATACTTTGGTGTTGAAAACATTAGGTTTTGGGTTTTAACATCTCACTCAGGATCTTGAAAATACATTCAGAAAACACATGGGAATATCTCACCAAGAAGTTAATGTAAATAACACAACGAAAAACTCACTTTGGTTTTAGATTTTGTCTCTTCATTCTCACCATCTTCTTCTTCTGTCGGCTCTTTGTTCAATGCAGAATAATCTTCCAGGAGGGTGTCGAAGAGCACTATCCGCTTATTCTTGAAGAATCCATAGAAATAAGCATTGCTATGAGAAGAACGCTTAGAACCTGATGAGGAAAATTTGCATTAAAGACCATTATCTGAATAATCCCATGCACTGAAGACTACACAATATTACATAGAACAGATTCTTCCAAAGGAATTCTCAAAGTCCCCAAATGAACAGGACACAAACTCAAGAAAATGAGTTTGCAGGTTGAAGCATATTCTAAAATGATCTAAGTAGCGATGATCTCATTTACTGACTCCAATAGAGGAATAATTTTTTCATCTGTAAGATGTAATCACTAAAATCACTAAAAACATAAAAGCAGTCATGTGAAGGTCTAACATCCAGAAGAAAAGAAATTTCTATTGCAATTCCATGTTCAGAGTGGAAGGAGCATTCTGCATAGAACATATGCTGCCCTCCTGGCAAAGGACCTGTGACGAATAAAATGTGCCAGCAAAGATTTGAAATAGATAAGGAGAAGATGAAGAGATGAACTACAGCTACCAGGCAGTCCTTCAAAATTATTTTTGTTTGAAATAGGCAATTTTTTACAGCTACTTTTATCTAGATCAAGTGAATGATGGACTGTTTCTACTATCAATACACTAATTTCTTTCCATGAAATACAGACTGTTTCAGTTGATTAAAAAGCTGTCTAGATCAAAGCAGCTGTTAAACCTTTGCCTACCTTAGCCTATGGACAGAAGCTGTTGTAACATCAGGACTGAAAGAGGTCTCTATGAGAGAAAAGGTGAAGTGGTCTGGTTTTTGCAGCAGAAGATAAGATATTTCAAGTTAAAGACGTTTGCCTTCAACTCTCATAAACTCCTTAGGGCACAAAATATCCATTGTTCCATTGCAAGCCAACCCATGGTATGGTCATGGTAACCTTCAGCACCAAACCAAGACAGATCAACAGAGGAAGAGGCTGGTCAAAGTATGAAGCCTCAGCATCCAGTCCCTTCTCAATGAAGAAATCTGAACAGTCACAGGATAGCAATGTTTTTTTTTATCTGCATGTAATAAAAAACTTCATCCTCCACTAAGTGTTGGTAGAGAAGGAACCTTTGCAATCTGCCTGTTACAGAATGAACCCTGAAACTAAAGGACTTGGTTACACATGTTACTAAGAAGTCTGTTCTGGAGTGGGAAGAGCCAAGACAGTGCAGAAAAACACTGGCAAAAAGATGTTCACACATCCACTCATCCATGAGGGAATGGTGCTGGCTCAACACTCTTAAGGATGCCAGGAAGGAAAACAGGGGTTTGGGAGCCTCCCTTCACTGCAGATCACTGCCACTAAATGCGGACTTGCTGAAGACACCAATGCAGTAGTAATCTACGTAGATGCCAGGGTACCAACAATGGGGTCATAGGACTTTCATCACCACAGTTAAAAGCTGGGATACAGCCAGCAATGCACATGGGAAAAATCTACCTATTTGGCATGCCTCTCAAGCCTGAAAAGCTTCGACTTTGCTAGGAAAGAGTAGAGTTTCTTGGGCCCCATGTAGTCAACAGTAGTAGTTCCTGGCTGCACTAAAGCAGAGCACTGGCTGAATTTGGCCAGCCCAAAGTTTTGAAAGCCACAGCTTCCAGGCTAGATAAAGCCTTCATCACCCTCTCTTACAGCAAAATTCTACCATTTCAGCTCCTTATGACATCTGATACTGCTTTCACCAAGGCAATAAAACCACCTCAGCATCCTCACAGGTGAGGCACAAAACCGAAACAAAATTTGGGAAAGTCCCCGAAATCAACTTCAGAAGGGAGCAAAATTAATATAAGTGGAAATGACAAATGGTAAAGTGCTCTGTGAACATGGAGGTGGAGAGGAAGAGACATGGCAGCTGGCATGCTCCATGTTATATTCCATGACCAAAGAAAAGAGGATGAGAAATTTGTTACTAGAAAGTGAAAAAATTAGTCTCGAGTAGAAGGTAAGAATCCATCCAGCCATACCTGAAGAAACAGCCCAACAGTCCATGTGAACACTCTAAGAAGGAACAGGGGTTTTAACTTTCATAACTTTTTCAACTGTTTTACCAAGGACTTTGAGACTATTAATACTAAACAGAGACTAGAAAAGATAATTAAAAAAAACTTTCCCCTCTGGTTTAAAGCTCTAAAATTGGAATCTTGATTGCTGCTTCCACTTCTGACTGTGCTATGTATTTCCGTTCCACAGAGCCAAGATAATGCTTCTAATGAGACGCTGAGTTAAGGCTGTACATTCAGCTTCAATTTTCTGACCTCAAGGCAAAAAAAGGAAAATGGTACAGACATTGAAAAGTATTAAAACAGCTGAGGAATATAAGCAACTGCCCTACTACAGCATCCAAAATCAAAGCTAAAAATCCACAAATTCAAAATTATAAAGTCTTTTATTAAAAAAAAAAATCTCACCTTCAACAACATACACCTTAGTCAATGGGAAGTCAATGCTCTTTGCCATTGTTTCAATTTGTTGCTTGAGCTCTCCCTCAGGAAGAGGAATGAATTTATCAAACAAAGGTGCAATATAGTCTGCATAGATTGTAACGAGCACCTGCAAGCACATACAGATATTAAAAACAAGGCATACAAATGTGTGGTTAGTAATAAAGGTGGAGCATGAGTAAACACAAAAAGACGGCACAAGTTCAGAAAGAACAGTTGATAAAGTAGAGTCCTGTATGAAGTGTGATCTATAGCAAGGCTCTCTATGGGTCATCCCATCTTTGAAGACAACTACTTTGTTGGCAGTAAGCAATTCAACAGCAAAATGAAGTGGGAGCAGGTTCATATACAATCTACAGTCCTCAGCAGAATTAGTGTAAACAGTGCTTCTGCTCTGACATTCATCAAACTGCAGAAGGCAAAGCCACCATGACAGCTGGTAGCAGTGACCTTATCAGTGACAGGCCTGCCATTTTCACCTACTTCACCAGTACTGGAAAGCTCTGAAGTGTCTCATAATGAGCAGCAGAGCCGACTGAACCAGGAAATAGTCCTGCTGCTTCAAATTCTTCCTATACTTGTAAAGCCACAGTCTAAAACAGGCAAGAAATTTCATGTCCCCTATTTCCTTGCCCTTCTCCCAGTTCTATGCAGAGCTAAGAACTTCCTGACACCTCTGGTCCACAACGATTAACAGCAATGTCCCAAAAATCACTACAATACACCTACATCTCTTCAAACTGGCAGCAGATGCAGCCCAGATGAAAAAGCCAGGACTGGCATAACACTGTGATGGGAAAGGAAAGCTGAACTCCCGTCCCTCACACTCTGGACCTTCACAAAGTGATTTTCATTTATTTATTTTAAAGAAAAGGACTGCAGAAAAGTTTAAATTCTGGTTTGGGAAAAAGGCAGAAGACATGAGAGGCAAATGGACACCAACATTAACTTCAAACCATGATCAACACCCAGTAAAGCTGCAGTGCTTTGCAAGAGGCTTGGAAAGCACTAATTGTCTGTACATGCACTTAATTCTCAGGGAAAAGAAAAAAAAGGGGGAGGGCAGGGAAGTGGGCCACTCGGTCTTGCTACATACACTTTCAATACAGAAGTCTGTATCTCTGATATGACACATTTTATTTTCTAGCTTTTGTTGTGTAAAAGATAGGCCAACCTCTGTTATATCAGTTTCTAAAGTATCTCTAAAATCTCAGGGGAAAAAAACAAAAATCTACATGGACAGCTCAATTGGAAGGGGCAGGCAAAGCAAAAAAAACCAAAAAAACCCCCTAGTTTGTGATAGGAAAGTGACAGAGAAAAAACAGTGGTATCAGCTGATACCACAGCCTTGAAATTTAGTGTTAGGTACTACTCCCCTACATCTCTTCTTTCTACTAAACTTGCTTGATAAAAACTATAAAAGGTACATTCAGAAAGTTTCTCATATGAGATCATACAACTTTTATTACAATATATATTTTAAAGAAAAGATGGCAAGAAGCAGTCAATGACTGGTATAAGGGAAGCTAAGGAAAAAATTTTTCACTTTTGGTGTACAAATGAGGGCAGGCCATTGCAGAAAATCCTCTATCTTCTTTCAATCCCGAAACTACCAGTTCTTTTAAAATTTCAGCTTAATCTTTCTAAGAAAAAGCAAGTCTTTAAAGCCTTTAAAACTGAAGACTTAAAATATGAACAGGCTATGACATGAGGAACTAGTATCTCCCCAGTTTCGCAAATAAGGCTACACTAGAATAATCTGTAAGTATGGAGTGTTTCACTCAGGCTGACAGATCAGTAGCTCAAACGCTGGATTATGATTTAAAAGTATACTGCTGATCAAAGCTTAGAAGAAAAAGAACAATTCTTCAAGAAGTACTGATCAGTCTGCACAAATCTTTCTGTAACAGTCATTTCAATAAATGTATACTGACATTTTTAAGACCTAACATTATGATTTTTCAGAATACATTCAGAGACAAAAAAAGGGAAGATGTCAGAGCACAAGGACAATTGGATTACAGAAAGCAGGAGCCAGCGCAACAAAACAACAGGAAATTTTAGAATTAAGTCAGCAAACAAAAAAATAAAGCTTGAAAGAAGTCACAAGTCCTAATTGGTAAGCAAGACTTACCACCTAAGTGGGGCACTTCTGCTACTACACTATTGCCATCAATTTCCTCAGAAACACATTGCAGGTAACTGCACTATGTCAGAATTAGTGGCCCTACAAAAATCCACTAAACCACACAAGTTTTACTTCAGTTTACATGTTAGGCATCAATGAAACAAAAAAAGTAAGCAACAAATATAATTCAGATAATGATCTGTGTCCCATAAAAACAGGATTATGAAAAGACTGCCACAGTTCCTTCCATGTTGTCACGTCTGAGGAAGTCATTGCAGCTATTGGATATATAAGTGGAAAATCAGATTTTCCTGCATTAGTTGCAATGGCCTCCCATGTCGTGATCGCATCACATTGTTGTACAAATGTGGCCAGCCAATGCCTGTGCTTTAGAAAGGAAGCTGACAAACTGAAAGTCCAAAAAAGCTATAAAGGTGATCTGAATCTGGAAGTAGTGGGGAGAAGGGGGGAGAAGGAAAGGGAAAAAAAAAAAAAAAAAAAAA